GACAGGTACAGACAGGTACAGACCAGTACAGACCAGTACAGACAGGTACACAGAAACAGTCAGACATACTTTTCTGATTTGATTGATCTGAATTGTTTTAATAATCAATCTGATGAGTCATAACAATCAGCTGATCGATCAGATAAATATTGATCTGCTCTCAGAATCAGAGGAAATAATTTCATATTAGATTGATTACACTGACTAACTGAAATGATTGTAGCTTTTATTTAATTCTCAGAACTTCCTCCTCAGTTTTCCACAATAAAATCCTTCATTCAGATCATGTTGTGTCTTTTACTGTGAAAACATTAGGAGGAGCAGAACCAACCCAGTGAATTCATCTGTGTCCTTCTCATGTCAGGGATCTGCCCCGAGTGTGTCCTTGAATCACATCCTGTTAAACTCTCCATCCAACATCGCTGATCAACTTTTTTATCTGTTGCCTGGCAACCAACGAAGCTCAACAACTTTGTTGCCGTTGTTTTTCTCACTGAAACACAAAAACAACATTGTCACCTTAAAGAAAAATAAGAGTTCTAAAGAGTTCATCCTGAAGGGCTGACGTTTGACCCAGAACCCTCTGTTAAAAGAAGGGTTCTTTATGAGAGTAAGGGTTCCATTAAGAACCCTGTTCAAGCATAAAGTTCCTTTAGCCCTGGGCTAACCTGTTAAAGTAAAAGCATCACTGGTGGGAGCCACCCTGGATGGGTTCTCGATGAAACCTTTTGCATATGAAAGGGTTCTTTTACTTTTTACACTACAAGTCACATTCACCCATTCACACACACATTGACACATGGTGCCACCTGCAACTCAGTTTTTAACACAGTCACACACAGATGGACACTGAAGAAGACTTCACAACAACAAGTAAAAAGTGAACTTTGATTTCTTACAGTTCAGTTCAGGAGAATTTTGCCTGAATATTTACTGGAGAATAAAACAGGACTTTTGATTTTCTGTAACTTCTGTAAGTTCTCAGTTATTTTGGACTGTTCTGACGCAGCATCACAAACACACAGAATGATAAATAATGAACGGTCCCTTAAACTCCTGGTTCATCATAATGACCCCTCCCTCTGTTAACACGTCACACTTTATATGTTTATATATAATATTAATGTTAATGACTCTGTTTGAACTGCAGCCTGCAGAAATAGACTTTATCTTCACTACTGCTGGTTTTAACATGACTGGGCGAGGCGAAGCTTTTATTTTGAAGACTGTGACCGGAAGTTGTCTAAACTTCTCGAACTTGACAGCATTGATCATAAATCAGGTCCTCGATGTCACAAACTGATCAATATGTAATCAGAAGGCTCGTGCTGCTCATTGATGAGCTGTCCCGTCTGATTCCGCACAGAAAAGTAGAGCACAAAATGTTTTTGTCACTCCGCCGGATTTAATGTCATTTAACCCTTTCCTGTCCTCGTGCGGTGACCACACATACATGTGCATGTTTCCGGTGTCTCTGACGGACTTTAGTGCAGTTTTTCCTCCACAGCTGATTCCCGGTAACACCGGTCCTGACTCAGCGGTCTGACGGACTGATGCCGCACAATGACGACACACCACACGCCCCGCACGTGCACACTCAGGTCACACTTCACGTCATGAACATACAGAACATTTAACACAAGAAGAAGAAGGAAAGAAGGAACGATGGAAACATGATAAAAGAAGAAGAAAAAATAAAGGGTACTTACTCCATGTCTGAGAACAGCTGCTGCTGAGCCCCGAGTCGTCCGGTGGTCTGCATCCGACAGAGAACAGAGACCCGCCCACACCGAGAGGAGGACGGGGGGGGGGGTCAGAGTACTCCACAGTACCAATACTGCAGCACCGACAGGTCAGAGTACTCCACGGTATCGATCAGTGATCGATCAGGTTCTATCAGTGATGGTTGTGTTGCTGCTGCGAGTCCAGCAGAGGGCGACATCACACCTTAAGAATCTAAACAAACATCAGTCATCAATAATGTCAACAGGTTAAAGTCACAACGATGAGCTGTATTGATCAAGTGAATCAATATCAAACTGAACTTTGGATCATTTACAGATAAAATCAGTTTCAGAGATGATTATTGTGATCAGTCACTGCTGACTTTCACCAAATTATCAGTTAGTTTATTGATCTTAAATTCTTACTTCCTGAATCAGAAACCGGCAGATTTTCACAATAAAACACACAGAACACGCTCTGTTAAAGGACTACTTTTATTTTGAAAGAACCATCAAAATTAGTGTTTCAGTACACAAATGACCAGTGTGTGTGTGTGTGTGTGTGTGTGTGTGTGTGTGTGTGCGTGTGTGTGTGTGCGCGTGTTGGGGGGGTGAAACCTTTTCAAAATAAAAGACATGTTGAACACATTTCTGGCTTGTTTGAGTCTGATTAAAGATCAATAATAAAGTTGTAATATTATAAAAACAAAGTCTTGATTCAGAGAAATGTAAATGCTCCATGTGTAAAAAATTCTGAGGAAAATTAATTTTCCAAAAAGTTAAAATATTCAGAGAATGAAGTTTTCATTTCAAAATATCAGAATAAATAAAATCACGAAAACAGGAAGTGGTCTGTGAATTAAACTTCAAGTTAAAAGTCTCGATATTCAAACTGTTTCTTGCTTAAAAAGATTCTCCAAAAATTCTGACCTGATTTAAATAACATTACAACTTTTCTGTGGAAATATTTGGACCTTAAGCTTGAAATATTATTTCATTTTGAAAGAACAGATCAATAAGCAGATATATTGGTAATAAAATCAGCTGTCTGGTCCTTTGACTCTCAGTTGAAACCTCTAATTAAACTCCATGAACTTTAACAACGATCACATTCGTGTGTTTAGCCCTTCACAGGTTCACGGATCAATAAACTTATTGATCAGGCTGGAGCTCGTACCAAAGATCAGACTCGGACCAGAAATTTAAAAAAGGAGAAAAATAAAATAAATAAATAAATTAAAGATTGAATTGTTTTGTGTTTTTTTAAAGGACGGTCGAGTTGTGTCTTCGTGGTTTCAGTTGTTTCTAAATTATAAAACAAAAAACATTAAAAACGTTAAAAAACTTTGTGATATTGATAAACTGATTTCTCCTCACAGATTCGAGTTGCTGCTTTAAATCATCTGAAATACTACAGGTCCCAAAATCCACTGCTGCAGGAGGCATCCAATCAGAGAGCTGATTCACTGTTTGGATCGATTCAGACATTTTGGACCAGCTCAGCAGCTGTGGAGCACACAGCAGCCGAGGCTCATGGGTAATGTAGTATTAAGATGTTTCTACCTGCAGCCGCGTGTCAACCTTCACTTCATCAAACTGATCAGAGGTCAGTGTGGAGGCAAAGTGTGGTCCCAAAAATCACCCAAACACCTTCAGCTGTGAACGTCACAAACTCTGTTGGATCAGAACATTCAACACCGAACACGCTCATCATCAAATTATTTCACAGTAACGAGATTAAGGTCCCAAAACTGTGGAGATAAAGTTCACCTCATCACCTGGAACATTCAGAATAACTACGAGACAACGATTCAGAAACGTGAGATAAAAATCTCAAACATACCTGAAACACACAAGTTCAAATATTTCAGATTTAGAGATCTTTTCTTTATGAAATAAAGACTGTGGAACTATGACAGTAAGAGTTACTTACGAGACAAACACGTCCCAACACTTCATAGCTACAGAATAAAGACCTCGTACTTCTGACATAATACAGATTATGTATGTTTGGGACAAAGATGTCATGATAATAAAATAAAGACTTTGTAAATACAGAATAAAAATCTCGTACTTTTGACGTAATAAAGATTGTGTCATTGTGAGATAAAGATTTCAAAGTTACGATAATTATCTTGAAGTTACAGGATTAAATTAGCAGGTAAAGAGGACGAATTAATTAAATAAAAACTCGTCTCATTTTAATGACATCATCATCTCTGTCATCTTTGTCATGTGACAAACACAGCAAGTGTCTGTTTGACTTTAAAACTAAAGAAATGGGACACATTGAACTGAACAAAGACAACCAGCACAGCTAATGCTAACAGGAGCTAACACCAGATAAAATTAGCTAACCTGAGCTAACACCAGCTAACACAATCTAACATTAGCTAAGGTTAGGGAACATTACCTAACACCAGCTAACATTTCCTAACATTGGCTACCTTACACAAGCTAATATTAGCTAACATGAGTTAACATTAACTAATTAACAAGCTAACATTAGCTAACTTGAGCTAACATTAACAAACATGAGTTAAAATTCCTTAACATGAGATAAAATAATCTTTCATGTTAACACAAGCTAACATTATCTAACATGAGTTCAAATTACCTGGCTAACATGTGCTAACATTACCTATCATTACCTAACACTAGCTAACATTAGCTAACATGAGTTAAAATTACCTGGCTAACATGAGCTATCATTACCTATCATTACCTAACACTAGCTAACATGAGCTAACATGAGTTAAAATTACCTGGCTTACATGAGCTAACATTACCTATCATTAGCTAACATGAGCTAACGAGTTAAAATTACCTGGCTTACACGAGCTATCATTACCTATCATTACCTAACACTAGCTAACATGAGCTAACATGAGCTAACATTACCTATCATTAGCTAACATGAGCTAACATAAGTTAAAATTACCTGGCTTACATGAGCTAACATTACCTATCATTACCTAACACTAGCTAACATTAGCTAACGTGAGTTAACATTAACTAACAAGCTACCATTAGCTAACATGAGCTTACATTACCTAATATTACTTAACAGAAGCTAACATTAGCTAGCATCAGTTAACATTACCTAACACAAGCTGATATGAGCTAACATGAATTAAAATCACTGGACATGAGCTGACATTACCTCGGATCTAATGATTATCTTGCTGTTTTATTAGTTTATAT